GGCCCGCATCGCTAGCCTCGTTGCCCGTGGACAGACCGACCACACAAGTCCGGAATGAACCCTGAACCCTACAGTATTCTAATTATTTTAAGGCCCCTATATTGTAGGTTGTTATCCTTCCGAAGGCAGGATCTCGAATGGAAGCCCAGCGTGATCTTACCCAGCGCCAAATGGCCGCAGAGTTGCCCCTCGTCGAGAAAATGCTCGTAGGATCCTTTTAGGGTGTCATAGGGTTGAGGGTTCAGGGCTTTGAAAATTTACGATGTTGAGGGTGTTGAGGGCTATAGGTTTCTTAGGGTTAGGGCGTAGGGTTACCAGAGACTCCAAAACCCTGTAATGAAGGAGCGTACCTTAGGTCATAAGAAGAGTGCTCCTGTGCTGTAGTTATGGGCAGTTCTCTAACTAGGGGACCCTAAAGTAGAGAACTACCCATATAGAAACCCTTATAGAAACCCTAGAGACACCCTGATAGATCCTTTTCAGGAACCCCCCAAAGGGACTGTGATGTAGAGAACTACCCATCTTCTGACTTGACAGGCTCCTCTTAGTCCTGAACCCTGAATTCACAACCCGAAACCCTAAACCCTCAAGGGGCCTTAATTTAGAGAACTACCCAATCCTGAACCCTAAACCCTAAACCCTAAACCCTAAACCCTAAACCCAAACCCTAAACTAAAAGGGACCCTAAACGGACGCTAGTGTAGAGAACTACCCATCTTCCTGACAAGTTTTGGAGTCTCGGGCTTCCCGGGAGGGGTCGCAGGGCACTTGTTATAGGGTTTTGCGGGCTTTCGGGTCGAGCGCAAGCAGCTATTTCGGGGTTTAGGGTTTAAGGTTTAGGGAGGTTTAGGGTTTAGGGTTTAAGGTTTAGGGTTTAGGGTTTACGGGTTTAAGGTTTTAAGGTGAGGTTCTTATGGAGTTGTTGTAAAGTTGTGTGGGGTCCCAGAGGGGTTCAGGAGCCTTCACAAAGTTGGTGACAAGTAGAGCCATAGGCTAAGCCCAATTCTAATTCCCCGGAGCCTTCAAGTCAATGATCATCCTGATAGCCACAAGAGTCATAACAACAGCAAGAACAGTCATAGTAATAGCCATGACACGGATACTGATAATAGCACATAGTCATACCCTAAACCCTAACCCTTGCTTGAATCGATCTGGGCTTGGGGTTTCCTAGCACGCAGAGTCACAGTGGGGTCCAGCAGCAACAGGAGGAGAGGGAAGAGGAGCGGTAACATAAGAACCTGATTATGAAACCTTGGTTCTTCATTAAGGCACCGGTATCCTAAACCCTAAGAGGGCTAAAACAAAATACCCTACCGGGCACGGGTATCCTAAACCCTAAGCCCTACTACTTTGGGGTTATGCTTGTAGGGAGGGTTTCTTGCAGTGAGGGGGCCTGAGCAAGTCTTGTATCACGCAGCCACCAGAAAAGGACTCTTTGCACACCACCACAACGCTGTAAGATAAGGGCTTAAGTAATTGTCAATGCTATTCCTTGGTAATTTTCAATGCTATTCCTTAGAGTGTCTGCTTACAATCATACTACCTCATACTCTATTAAGGCGCCTCCACTCAGAGCACATTTTTTTCTACGATGTTACGGTGTAGGGTTAAAGAGACTGCCTTCCCCAAACTGTCCAGCCTTTAAGGGCCCTAACCCCGAAACCCTAAATCCTAAACCCTTAACCCCAAAATCCTAAACCCCAAACCCTACATCCTAAACCCTAAACGCTAAACCCTGGCCTGAATGTTGCAGCCCTCGAAGGGGCTGAGCTGCAGAGCCTCTAAACCCCACACACAAGGCCATTAGTCCATTGTGGTCGCAGACTAAACGTTCAGGGTTTAGGGTTTAGGGGTAAACCACCGTAAAACCCCCAAGCCCTGAACCCTATACAGACAAACCCGAAGTGCACGAAAGACCGCTTTGCTTCCGAAAGAGGCACCGAGAAATGCGAAACCGAGCTGCTCTGCTGAAGGGGAGGGAGGCAGTAAGGGTTTAGGTTTGGGGTTTAGTGTTTAGGGATTAGGGTTTAGGGTGGTGGTGGTAGTAGTAGTAGTAGTAGTAGTAGTAGTAGAGGTAGAAGAAGCAGTGGTAGCAGGTAGAGAGAACGATGATCATAACGGTAGTAAGGCTCGTAGTTTGTTGCAGTGCTGGTGTTAAGATAGCGGTCTCGATAACGGCACGAGTCTGATTGCAGTAGTGGTCAGCCCCGATCATCTCAATGAGCGCGTCTAGAGTCTAGAGTTTCAGGTTTGGCATTTCCGGACCTTTAAACCCGTCAGCCAAGCACCTTGTGAAAGCGGCTCGGGTCAGACGGTGTTAGGATCAGTTTGTTAAGGGTTTGGAGTTCAGGTGTAGTCTCGGGATATCCGGCGCAGGGCCTGAGAGTGTAAGGTGTATTACTGTATTATGGTGATCCGTTCGGTGTTTGGGACGTCGCCCCAGCCATTGTTTCAATAGCATCCCCAGAGCCTAGGCAGAGTTGCATCAGCAGCTCTGACTCCACACGGTCCCCCAGCGGCTGCAGCGACGACAACCGCCCAAGCCCATGTCAAAGCGCGGAGATGCAGGAAGGCACGTGAACCTACTTCTGGGGTGTCTGAACAGAAAGTTCTACTAGTATTTCGTACAGTCCCTCGATGGTGCGGCTAGGCTAAGTCCCGATTCGAACCATGACGGTCGCTACATTACAGAGTTTAGGGTTCAGTGTAGCACTAATCGTTAATTAAGGGTTCTCAGCATAGTTGGGCGGACGCAGAGCACGCCCGAGTAGTTGTTACTAGACTGAAAAGTGGGTAGTGTCGGGGCGGTTCACAGCACTAAACCCGGAAACCCTAAACCGTACACTGCAACAGCAACCACCAAAACCCTAAACCCTAAAACCCCGAGACCCCTAAACCCTAAACCCCTAAACCCTAAAGCCTAAAGCCCTACCCCCTAAACCCTAAAGCTTAAACCCCTAAACCCGAAAGCGCAACCCTAAACCCCAAAAACCCCGAGACCCCAAACCCTAAAGCCTAAACCCTTAACCCCAAACCTCAGATCCTAAACACCCCCAGCTCTTAGCATACCTGGTGCAGGGCTCGGGCTCGCAATTTCAGGATTCTGCGATTTGAACCTCAGGAGGTTATATACAGATGTCTGGCCACCTATCTATCTGTCTACCTGTCTATCCATTTATTTATCTTTCTGCCTACTTATCGATCTACCCATCTACCTATCTGTCTATCTATTTATCTATCTATCTATCCGGAAGGTATGCATGTAAGAGTATATTGTGTGTATATATATATGTATATATGCTATAGATATGCCATGTATGTATGTAGGTAGGTAGGTAGGTAGGTAGGTAGGTAGGTAGGTCGATGCGTGGGTGGGTGGGTAGGTAGGTAGGTAGGTAGGTAGGTACTTATGTATGTATATGTGTGTGCATATATATATATATACATACAAATCCTGTCAATATTTTGAGCGACAAGACCGGTGAAATGCATTTTGTTTCGGTTCATCCTCACCGCTCTCGGGCTTGTTTCGAATACTACGACGGCGATGCCGACGATGAGACATTCACAGGCTCAAACACAGCTAGGACCTGATTATGGATTATGGCAAAACGAAAAGCATCAGCGATGAAAACCAGTGGTCGTAAGCACCAACACGGTCACGAAAGTCATTGAACAGAAGCTTCTCCTGCACCACACCCTAGCCGGTTCCCCAGAATTACGTTAAAGCGGAGCGGTAGAAAAGAGGCATCCTGTTTCGTGTCTACAGAAAAGCTACCATACTCAAGACTGCTGCTCGACAAGGATGGCAACCAAGCAGCCTCGCAGTCCGCAATGACATTATCGGTGCTGATGCGTTAGACGAATTTTCACGGGTCACAAGAGGCTTGTGGTACTAATCACATTCAGAACAAACATGAGGATGACTGTGTTTAATATTGTTGCCCATGACATGCATCAGATAGGGCCGTTAGCGGGGTGGCGGGGGAGGCGCGGGGATTCGTTCTTCCGGACTATGGAAGGGGGGTTGTCCTTCCCAAGTATGAAGGGGGGAGGGGGTGCTCCTTCCGGTGCATGGAAGGGCGGGAGGGGGGATTCGTTCTCCTGGGACTCTGCAGGCGTTCATTGTTGGGATTTGTTTGTTCTGTTGGGAGTATGAACGAGAATAGGGGTTCATTGTTCGGGTAGGGGGCGGAGGGCCGAGTGCAACGAGTCAGTTCAGCCGCAAGCGCAAACTTGCAGCTCTAAACATCTGCATTTCCAAGCCGTCCTTAGCCCCCACCATTTGGCGACTCGGAATCATCATATCCCTTAAACACACCCCATTTATTGGCAATGCCGGCTCAGCCTATATCTCAAACACGCCCCCGCATTTGGCGATGCCGGCTTGTCATATATTTTCAACACGCCCCCTCCTTTGGCGGTTCCGGCTCGTCATTTGTCTTATACTTATACACGCCCCTCCGACCTCGGGCGATCTCGCTTCTCCACCTCGCCCACGAGTAA